TTGAACAAGACAGTGGCCATGAATGTAAGAGGAAAAATAAAGCAAATGTCAGGTGATTCCACTGAAGGGAAATATCCAGAACAGGCAATTTTATACAAACAGAAATGTGATTGGAGGGCAGGGGAGGGGAGGGAGGGAGAGTTACTGCCTTGTGGTTTTATTTTATTAGTTTTTGGAGATTGATGGAAAAGTTCTAGAAATATTTGTAAGTATGCATAATGCCATAAAGGGTACAATTAAAATGATTAAAATCGCCATTTCATGTTGCACATACACATTTACAACGTCAAAGAAAAAAGACCACGGCTCTGGTCAGTCTCTTAATCTTACCTTTTCAGGCCATTTATAGAATGGGACAAAATCTTTAATGGACGTTAAAGAAAAAAAAAAAGTCATCTCCAGGAAGCTATAAACAGCAGGCAGAGACAGCTGCAGAATATAGAGCCATTGGCTTAAAAGTGACATGTTTCTATTATAACCCACGAGTTCCCAGCAGAGTCGAATCTGTGAGCTGGTGCTAGAAAGGCGAGAGCTCCATAAGCTACTTAACTTTTCTGGATGGGAAAGAAAATAACTATTAAAACCATAAAAGATACCATATGGCACCCGAGGAAGGGGGGAAATAATTTTTGTGGTTGTTTCCTCAACAAACAATTAGTTCTTTGGTCTCCTAAAAAAAAATATTAAAGTGCCATTAAGAGAAAAATTCAAAACTGCCAAGAAGACATATCTGAAATGGAAATAAAGTGGAAAAGATAAATAAAATAAGCATTCCTTTGCTATATTTGGTGGAGTCCTGCAGAGAAAAAAAATTCCAGCCAGGCAGCATTGAGACATAGTTTATTAATGCAGTTTCCCCCACAGCAGGACACAGAAAGAGAAACCGGTAAAACAGTCGCATTAAAAAATGATGACTTTACATCTGATCTTTATGAATACATAGGAAAGAAACTGTCCTCCTGAGCCGTCCTTGGGCTGCGTGGAGGCAGAGATGCAAAGAATTATTGTTTCCTTTTTTTTTTTTAACTTCAAAGCATTATTTGCTCTTACATGCTCAGAGCAGACTAGATGTTGCCTCCCACATTTAGAAGAATTTATGAAGAGACCCCATGGAAGATGCTGAGTGGTTCTCTCAGCTACATGTTTGAGTGAGCCCTTTCGTCTTTTTTTCAGTCTACAAAATTGAAGCCTATTTGTATTCCCTTTGGGGGGGGGGAAGAAAGGCAATGGGTTATAAACTGGTTGTAAATGGAATTTCCCCAGAGTTTGAGAGCTGGGAAGGAGCTTAGTGACGAGGTAAACCAAGGTTTTGTATTGTGTAGATTGTACCCCTCTATCAGTTAAAAAAAGCAGTTTAGAGGGTTCCAGTTAGCACTTGGAAGCTGAGATAAAGGACAGAGCACAATTGAATAAAACATAAAAAATGTGTCACACATATTATTTACTGAGGCTTTTGTTTCATATGTGTGTGTGTCTGTGTCTGTCTGTCTGTCTTAGGCACAATGTAAAGTATATCATACTGTGATTCTGGAAACAGATTCGTCATGTAACTAACACCTTCTTCCATGTAAAACAACGGGAGTCAGACAGGGGAGAATGACTTTCTCAAATCAGAAGCCAGAAGGAGCCTGGGTCTCCCGACTCCCACAATCCTCTCCATTAAACTTTATTCACCAAAATATGCTTGGAGGTGATTTGCTTCTGTGGAGGTTGGCTGTCAACTTGACAGGATCCAGAACCACCTAGGAGACATATTTCTAGTCCTGTCTATGAAGATGTTTCCAGGTTGAGTTGAAGAGGCAAGAGCTACCCTAAGTGTGGGCAACATGGTTTATGAACTGGCAATAAAGGAAAAAGTAAGCCGAGTACCAGACATAGCCCTTGCTACTTCCTGACTGCCTACGCAATGCGACACCGGCCTTACACTCCAGCCTCCATGACTTTCCTTCCACACCCCTCCCAGACTCTCCTTCCCTTAAGGTGCCTTGAGCAGGCAGTGTTGAGAGCAGCAACTAAGGGAGTTTTTAGTTTCTGCAGCAGCTGATATGCTGGTCTTTCCTGGGGCCACTGGGCTTTCTTTCCTCCTTCTTTTACATACCTCTGCCCTTCTATTATTTGGGATCAGTGGTTGCGTGGGATGAGGCAGGTACATGGCGGGGCAATGAGCACCCAAGGTCAGATGATCCATGACTCATAAATAACTCCTGCTATCTCAGGAGCCTGCAAAATTCCACAGCTCATTGCTCCCCGAAGCTGACAGGCCACATGAGAAATAGAACTACAGCCTGCTGTAAGAAAGGGGGAAGGCCCCATGCTGACTCTATCATAGAGGGCATCTTCAGAAACAGTGGCCTACTGGCAACCATGAGCTCTAGGTATCTCTTCCCAGACTCATGCGCTCTAGGCTGCATAAAGTGTTCTGTAACAGTGATAAGGCTGCGTTATGAGAGGATCTTGCCTGGCATTCAAAGCATTGACTCAGAGGAGGAATGATGTACCACATCAATAAATCCCTCCTGTGGTTCCCGTGCGCCAGGCACTCTTCTGAAAATATCGTAAATATTTACTCATTTAGTTCGCACCATCAGCTTCCAGGTTGTGGAGGTCTTTCCTAGCTACAGGTGTAGTCAGAAGGCTGAGAAGTGTCGAGATGTGCTAAAATAATTTGTTTTTCTTTCTGATTTGAAGACAGGAGTACGAACATACTTAATAGAGTTTAGAACTATGTCACCGGCAGAGTGAATTAATCAATAGTCAGACCCAAGGAGGAAGGTCAACTGCCTGCTTTCTCTTGGCAGAAGGAATTGGGAAGAGGATTGTTCTTGCAAAGATTCATCACTCTCTGATGCTTTCCAGAAGAGGTGATGAATTTGCAATGAGACATCTGCATTTTTTTTCTTTCCTTTTCTAAATCTCTCGCATGAATTTTAGTCCAGCTGCCTTGGTACATAGGGAGTGCTGGTTTCTGAAAACGCCCACTTAAAACCATGTGGAAATCAAACCTAGGCCCTTGGCTGACTGAACCAATGTTTTACACGGTGCTAGAAGAGGGTTCTCAAACAAACACTTCGTTGAGTTAATTTATCAGCACGTGTCAAAACTGATCTTGATCTTGGAAACGGGTAGATTTGGCTTTGATAAAGAACTTGAGTAGAAATTTACTGGAGTGTTGGGGGGGGGAAAGGTTGGTTTTGTTTTTCCCCTTTAAGAGGAATGTGAACTGAGGATTCTTTTAAAAACGTGTGTCTTATGTGTATGTTTTATATGTCAGCATTCAAATCCCACAGTACTCCTGATTGAATCTCCATGTCACAGATGAGGGAACGAAGTTAAATGACGTGCTGAAGGTATGTGAGGAACAGAATTCAGATTATGGTCTCCGTGCAGAACCCATTACTTTTTCCAACTCATCTCCAGTTCAAAAATGAGTTATCCCTAGGAGCATTCATTGAGCATAGCACAATGCTCATGGATCTTCCCATGCCCCGGTCTACTGACTAGTCACGAGGAATACCAACAGTTAAAGCCCTTTGTCTATAATTAATCCTTGGTTCCCTTAACAACGCTACCATGTAGTTGAACCGATTTTGCCAACGGGCAGATATGCTTCATTAGAGAATCTGAGAACCCTTCACATCGTGTTGTTTCATGTTCATGGTCAAGTCTGGGCTTGGAGCTGAAGCACAGGAAGAATGTGGAGAATGCCGTTGGCCCAGAACATGCCCAAGGAAGCTGTATCAGAGCAGTGGATTTCCTGGGCAGTGGGTGAAACTCCAAACTTAAGTCTTCCCACGGTTTCCCTCAGTGAAACATGCTGAGGAAAATGCCAGTGGACTAATATCCAGCCTTCCCTTGGAGCAGCCTCCATTAACCTCAACAGCAAATCTAGTTATTCATCACCAGAAATGAAAAATGCCTCTTTTTCAAAAGCGTAATTATCAGAGGTCTCACTGTGTCTTGGAAGAAGATGTATTTGCCATTATCAGCACATTCTCTATTTAGTCTCTGAAAAAAAAAATTGGCTTACACCACAGTTCATGAGCTGTATCTTTCTTAAAGCTAGAGTAAGCCACTGAAAACACAAAGATGACATTAAATAGTTAAATTACACACTATGCTACAGGGTTGAGTGAGAAGGGGAACCCACAGAGACTTAATATTTTCCCGAGTCTATAAAACTCCAGGCTTACAAATGCAAGTCAAATAAAAAGCTATTGGAGTTGTAACTAAAAATCGCCTGGATTAAAGATCATTAAATGAAAAAGTAATGGACAAGGTCACTTGCGTCCAGATACCAATCCAAATTTTCTAGATTTTGAGGTTCCCAAAGGCCGCAACCCAAATGTCAGGGACTAAAGTGCTTACTGTACCCTTGCTTGTCCCAGTGTCTGCCTTGAGAGGACATGCAGTTACTTCCCCCAAAGCAGCCCAATAGCTACAGAGCACCAGGAGTCCAGATGTTGGAGATTATCTCTTGAATGCAGTGGAATGCATGCCAGAGATTGAAAGGCAGAATTAATTTATAACACTCTCTACCTGTTGGCGGTATGTGCTCCGCTTATTATCAGCGTTGCAGGGCAATTACAACGTTGGAAATAGCACGGAGCACGTGACCACTGCAGCGAAGTTTAAAAGGGGGGCGTTCGTCACGTTTTAGTCTGCACATCTGGTTCTATCATACTTACCAAATGATTAATATAGGAATATATTACCGCGAAATCCTTTCAGATCAGTTTTATTTGCTAGGAACTGGAGCATTTTTCTTTCATCTCTCCCTAGTCCCTTCCTCCCCTTCTAGGCTGAACTCAATTTTCCTGGCCTAGGCTCATTTGAGCAGAGACAGGAACTCTTGCACCTCGCCTTTGTTCACGCCCCAACCACAAAGGGGGTGGAGCTACAAGCTTTGTTTTACAAAGCACACCCATTAACCAGACAAAACTAAACCGGTATTCCAGAAGTAGATGAGATCAGGAACCTCAATCAGATCAAGCCACAAAGAATTAAATTCTAAACTTTAAACTCCCTTTTATTGAAATATAAGTTTGTTTAGTCTATTTACACCACAATTTATGCACATATATACATAGAAGGCAAAATCTGTCAAATAAAAAAGTTTTTCTTACTAAAAAAATTAAAAACAAAGTAAAGTGCATGTAATTGATTTTTTTTTCTTCTTCTGGTGAGCATCATCATTGTCATATTTTTGGTCAGCTGGGAGAAGCAGGAAGAGATTCATTACTGACTCTGCTGCATACAGCTAGTCCTGAATTCACAGCCTTCAGGCCAAAATGACTAGAGCTGGGGAATGAGTCAGACAAATCGCCAGGGTCTGTAGGGTTCCCAGGGATGGGGGAGCCTTGTTCTTTGTCCTATCCAGAGCTGTCCCTCAGGCTGACAGTTATCTCACCATCGCGGCGCTGGAACAAAGGGAAAACACAGGAAGGGGGCTCCACCAGCCCTTGTCACAGCCTGCTCTGTTTCCACCCGTACCGTGTTTGATAGGAAATAGCAGGATTAGCTCAGGGGCTTAAACGGAAGTTTTCCTTTTTGGGAAGGGGTGGAGGGAGGGACAAGAATGGTCTGCATCTCCCATAGAGACTGCCATTAGGGGGCCAAACCCCAGCAGCCAGTTTCGTCGGATCCAATCTCCACGCAAGCACAGAAAAGAATCCCTTTTAAAAGCTGGGTGGAGGGAATGTTATAGTTCTCGCCTCAGTGAGCTTGCCCTTCCAGAACTTGGAATGGAAACCGCCTGGCATGAAAAGAAAGGGGCAAGTGGGCAAAACACAAGTTTTTAGACAGCTTCGCGATCAGGCCGCTGTGTGGGCGTTGGCCGGTTGGTCCTAGTCAGTGGCAAAGAAGACAGCCCCTCTAACCATCATTCATAACCCACTCCCTCTCTTCCTCGGAGTGCCATTAAGTCCCCGGGCCGGCGGCCGTACTTGGCCTTGCAGTGCAAAATGTGCTTGGCTAGGAAGTCAAGGCGGCGCTGTAGCAGCTGAGCATGGGGGTCTGCGAGCGCGGCAAGCTCTGGGAAACGTGGTTCGTGGCGAGTGTAGAGGCGCAGCAGCCGGGCCGCGGCGTCTTGACCCCGGTGCAGCTCCAAGACTCGCCTAGCAGTCCGCTCTCGGAACACACACACTGACTGTAAGAGCGGCTCGTTATACTTGTCCCACATGCCGGCCACCCGGTAACCGTGTACCAAACCCGCCTCATTGTCCAGAAAGACCAACGCCCCTCCCGGTCCTCGGTGGAGGTTGCTCGTAGCGCGGTGCATAACGCGTGGGTCCCACTGCAAGCTGAAGAGGTTGCTTACGAGCCGGTCGAAGTTGGCCGTCAGGTAATCGAAGAGGATCAGATCGGTCCACTGTACCAAGTCCACCAGCTCTACCTGGCTGAGGTTGGTCAGCTCGCCCCCGGCGTCGCGTAGGGGCCGCAGACGGCCGTCTTCTGATCGCCAGGGCTCAGGAACCACCACGTCGGTGAGGTTGGGCAGCCAGCGCGTCAGGCTCACCACGCTGCCCTCGGTCCAGTGCGCGGCGCGCAGCTCCTCCTGCACCTGCACCCACTGAGCGCCCCGAGCCTCCACCCGAGCCAGTGCCAGCGGCGGCACGTGGCGCTGGAGGCCCAGCAGGCGCGCAAGGTAGTAGGACAGGGCCTCGCCCTGGATCTGCTCCGGGTTGATGCCATAGCGTACACAGGCACGGGTGCCGTCGGCAAAGCGGGCTAGGCGGTTGGAACTGCGTCCGCAGCCTCCGCGATCCAGGGCTACTACCCGAGCACCCCGCACCACCTCCAGCCACGCAGCCGCCTGGGCTTCGGAAAAGCCCCGGGGCACCTGCTCCTCCAGACCGCGGCTCCAGAAGATGCCCCCGTGCACCGCCGTGCGCTCCGCGGGCTCGGGCAGCCCGGCTGGCACGTGCCGCCCGTGATCGTCCGGGTGTCTCCCAGGCGGGTTATCTGCGCCGGCCGCCAGGGTGAGCAGCGCCCGGAAAGTTTTCAGGGAGCCGCCGCGGGCGTCCCACGCTAGGGGCGGGGGCAGAGGGAAGCGCGGTTCGGGCGCGGGGCCGCCACTCTGGGTCGGATGCCTGAGGAGTCGATCTTCGGGCGGCCAGGAGGCTGGCAGCTCGGTCCGTGGTGGCAGGAGCCCTCCCCACAGCGTCAGCAGCGAGCCCAACGCCAGCAGCCAGAGCCCCGCGGCGGCGGCGGCGGCGCTCCGCATCCT